CAGCTGTAGCCTCACAGGTGGATGGAAAATGAGAATGCGGTACTTAAAGAAGAATCATTTCGGAGAAAAAGAGTTGTAATACCAATTTCTTTCTTGTCCATTTTTTTTTTTTTGGTACCAGGGATCGAACTTGGGTCCTTGCGCTTGCGAGGCAGGAGGCACAACCACTGAGCTAAATCCCGGCCCTCTAATACCAACTTCAACGTTGTTCTGCTTTCATGAATCTGACAAACTTATTTGTTATTTAAGACAATTGGGAGGAAATACGAAAATAGAAGACTCGTTTAGAAACAAAAATAGGAGCCAGGCATGGTGGAGCACACCTATAATCCCAGCACAAAGGAGGCAGAGGGAGGAGGATCTCTGTGAGTTTGAGGCCAGCGTGGGCTACATAGTGAGACCCTGCCTCAAAAAGCCAAACAAAACAAAACAAAAATAGGCTGGACATGGTGGAGCACACCTGTAAACCTAGCACTTGAGAGACTGAGGCAGGAGGATTGCTGTGAATCCAAGGCCAGCCTGGGCCACTTAATGAGTTCAAGACCAGCCTGAACTATGTGGTGAGACCCTATCTCAAAAACAGAACAACAAAAAAACCCATAAAATAAACACTGGGGAGCTGGACATAGTTGCGGATGCCTATAATCCTAGTACTCTGTCAGGCTGAGGCAGGAGAATCATAAGTTTGAGTCCAGCCTAGGCAATTTAGCAATATAGCAAGATCTTGTCTCAGAAAATTTTTAAAGGGACAAAAGAGTAGCTCAATGCAAAAACCCTGAGTTCAACCCTTCCTACATCCCAGAAATAAAAATTAACTCTCAGGGATGAGGCAGAATATGGAAAACAATTTTTGGCAAGACAACCATAAACAAATTATGGAATCACTAGTTTCTTTGTCACCTTCCCAATTCCAACACACAGCAGTCCACCGGGGTCTAGAAAAGGTAGATTCTGAAAGATATTCCTAAACACTTTTAAATGCTGCTTTTAAAATGCACTGAGTAGAAAGTGGCTTACAACAAGTGCTTTCTAAAAATGACTCCAAAATGGGATAAGTTTTTGTTTCCCATTGGAATATTTTCCTCTATCATAAAAAAAAAAAAAAAAAAATCAACCCAAGCCATTTGGCCCCAGTTTTAGGAATCACAGAAGATAAGAAAGAGGAAGGTAGAAACATCATGACTTACAGTTTTCCTGACTCTCAAGGCTCGAACCTGGAAGAGACAGAAGAAATCTGTTGATTTCAGAAGCTCAGTGCTCAGAAAGGTAAAAGGCGGTGGGGACAGCGACAACTCACAGAGCAGCAGAGTCAGCAGGGCTCCCAGCCACATCATGCCCCTTTGGGCCCACACTGGCCGCATCCTGAAAGCAAAGGCTGCCTGGTACCGTCAGTTCTGCCTTCGGGCCATGTCTTGGGGATAGAAAACACTTTTCAGTAGCCACCGATGAGAAACCTGCACAGTGAAAAGTAGAAACAACTTGGTAACTTCTCCGGCCGTCCCAGAGAGACCTGCTGTGGTGTTGGTCAGGTAATGGCGGCCATTGCTGGAAAACCCAGAACAATGAGGCCTGGGCTGGCCTGATAGCTCCTCAGGAAATGACTGGCCTTCCTGAGGGACCACTGAATGCAGCTGCTTTGTTTAAGGAAAAAAAAAAAAAAAAGGCACAAGTGACATTTGTCTCTCTATTCTTGACTCTCCCTCTGTCTTGTTTGGATTTGGGGACCCCCTTCTTGTGATAGGGTGAGGATTTTTTTCCCCCTGTCTTCAGCCTCCACTCAAAGTGTTTCCTTACTAGACACCAAAGTCTCCCTGTCTTTCCCATGTCCTCCTCCCCAAGGGGATCTGTCCACACAGTCTAAATCTGGGCCTCCTGTCTCTCCTGGACTGATTTTTCCAAAACATCATGGACTGGGCCAGGGATTTAGCTCAGTGGTTCTGCAGCCTGCCTCGCAAGCGCAAGGACCCGAGTTCGATACCTGGTACCAAAAAAAAAAAAAAAAAAAAAGCCAAACATCATGGACTTTGTCATAGGGGGCTGCACCAGGGACATCTGAGCTTGGAACTCATGGACTCGGGAGGCCCTCTCTGGCCTGGGCCATGGACTTTGCTGTGCCCTCACCTCACCCTCTCCCAGCCTTCATCGCAAACACACACATACTGTATTGGACCACAGGGAGTTTTCTAGGCTATAAATCAGGTCCTTCCTCTTGCCTGTTTGAAACCTGGTGATCGTCCTCTCAAAGAAGCTGCTTTATGACCCTCCATAATCCTCGGTTACCTTTCCAGCTTGGACTCCCACTACACTTTTCCTTCATGTACACTTTGGCTGCTAAAATGCCTAGTTCTCAGGATGCATCGTGTGTCAGTGCCTTTCCCAATCCTATTCTTTCTGCCTAGAGTCCTTCCGTCTTCTCTGTGGACTAGATGCTACACATCCTTCCCAGCTCACTGCAGGTATCAACTTCTGAGAAGGTCTGCCCGCCTCCCCCAGCCACAGCCATCCTCCCTCTGCAGCCCTTACCTTCCTCGTCTTCCCTGTCAGAGCCTCTCTTCAGCAGGCAGTAGCGGCAGGTCTCCCCCCGACTGGGTTCTTTCTGAAATGCCTTCCTCTACACCAGTCCTTCTTCTGCTGTTGCTGCTTCGAGGGAGACCCTTTTCAACTGGGGGAAAGAGGAACCAGATTTCTCTGCCTCAGGGCAAGAACCAAGAACTAATGGCTTCCAGCAAGGAAACATTCCTTTCTGATGGTTCAGGGAGGTTTTGAGAAAAGCTGTTGAAGAATGATACACAGTTAACCCATTTATTCCTCAAGAAATTTTCTCCTGTGGTACTGTTTATGATTGTCGCTGTGGTTTCCCATCCCTCATCTCCCACTGTAAACTACTGTATCTTCTTTGGCAACTGATTAGAAATTATCCCTACCCTTAGCCAGGCACAGTGGCACATCTGTGATCCCAGCGCTCGAGAGGCTGAGGCAGGAGGATTGCCATGAGTTTGAGCCCAGCCTGGGGTACATAGTGAGTTCAAGGCCAGCCTGAACTGCACAGTGAGACCTTGTCTCAAAAAAAGGAAGCCGGGGATTTAGCTCAGTGGTACCATGGCTGCCCGGCAAGAACAAGGTCCTGAGTTTGATTCCTGATACCGAAAAAAAAAAATCCCCACCCGTCTAACCAAATGTTGATTTAGGAGGGGAAAAGGGAAACATCTTGAATAAAAAAGTAAATGTTGGCTTCAAGTAGTAATTTTTAGATAAAGTAAGCAACTTTTGCATCTCAGAGTAATCTTCAAGCAAAAGTAATAAATGTCCAGAATTTATGCTTTTTTTTTTGGTACCGGGGATCGAACTCCAGAATCTATGCTTTTAAATTCCAAATACACTTCTAAGGCATATAATTTTATACATGATTCTAATATTGTTAAGATATCATGAGAAAATAATGCTTCATTAAAAAACAGATGTTAATACTGTATTCGGGGGAGGTTGAGACAGGATCTCCCTATACAATTCAGGCTGGTCTTGAACTCACTATGTAGCCGAGGCTGGCTTCGAACTCACAGCAATCCTCCCACCTCAGCCTCCTGAGTGCTAAATGTTAATATTTTGAAAAGGAGAAAAATTATATTCTATAACTCATAGCATACCCTAGAATGATTTCCCAATGGACCAAGTATCTGAATGTGCAAGCTTTTTTAAAAACAAGTTTGCATAAATTGCCCAGGCTGGCCATGGACTCCAGACCCTCCCATGTCAGGCTCCTAAGTAGCTAGGATTAAATGTACCCAGAATGCCTGGCATTGGGTTACAAATTTCTGATCCCAAATCATGTCCTTTTTTTCCTTTCCAAAAAAGTGAAGCCAAATAACAAGCCTGAATGCCAAATGAGCATTGTAGGAAATATTTACTTTTGGGCAAAAGAGAAGGAAGCCAGGGGTAGAGTTGGTTGTTCACACCTGTAATCCCATCTGCTATAGAGACTGAGTCAGGAGGATTGCAAGTTTGGAGCCAGCCTGTGCAACTTAGCGAGTCCTTGCTGCAAAATAAAATAAAAAAGGGGCGGTGATGTAGCTCAGTGATACAGTGCTTGCTTAGTATGAATGAGGCCTTGGGTTCAATCCCCACTGCCAGAGAAAGAGAGAGGGAGGGAGGGAGAGAGAGAGATCACAAATCAACTGGGGGGGGCAGGAACGGGGGAAGGAGTAAGAAGAATCAAAATTTGGCAGGTACATGTGTTAGGCAAGTAGTTAGACATTAGTGGGCCTGAGGGACAAAGGAGGAGGGTCCCAAATAGCATGCTTTGCCAGTTACAGTTAAAAAGAAACCAAAACTTCAATATATAATCCATTTATAATAATTTGTTAGGTCTCAGATCTAAAGCAATTCCGCAGAGCACAATGACAGTTTAAGGCTATACACTGTGCAGGTTCCTTCTGATATCTGGCCAACTAGTCATTTATTTCCAAAACAAGGCACGTATCTCCCTTGTCATGCAAATGGGATTGAAGGGGAGCAGTCATTTCTACAGGCTGGCCTTTTTTCCCTTCACCCTTCTGCCTGCTGCTGCTGCTACCGTCCAGTGATCTTCAATAAACATAGCTACTTACTACATACTATGTAAGGTGTACACTGGGCGATTCTTTCCTTGTCATACCTGAGAACCTGGACTCTTTTGGGCCCACTCAACTGTAACATTTGGTGAGCTGAGCCACGAGGACTTTACCAAACCTCGGAAGACCTCACTGGACAACATGCCAAGGGACTTTATCGCATAGCAGCCTAGGGACCTCACCAGACAGTGAAGGCGTCAGCAATCCAGAGCCCTCCGGAGACCTCAGCAGAAGTGGGGAACCAGACAACCCAGCCAGCAAGGAAGATGAGAACCCAGTTTCTTTTCAGCTTCAGGTTGAAGAGGCCTTCCCTATCAAACTCCTGGTGGTGAGCATAATTCAAGATCAGGACTTGCTCCTCATCCACGGTTCATCAAGAAGTCTTTGAAGGCAGGGCTCAGCTCCTTTGATTTGAACTCTTAGATCAATCTGGTGTTGAGTTCCTTGGTCCCTGTGTAGATAGGGCCAATGCTCCTATGCAGCTGGAAGTAGCTATAGAAGAGGGAACTTCCACCTTCAACTCCCTTCAAAGTTTGACTGGGAGCAGGGCTCTCAGCAGGGGACTAGTACAGTTAGGCACAAAGGAGAGGAGCGAGCCACTCCTTTCCCTCCGCAGCTCCGCCCTGAGGATTATCCTTGCTTCCATAATCCCAAAAGTGGGAAGTAGGGGGAGTCACTCCTTTCCCTTCATTCAACTTTAAACACAACTTGCTCTAATGATTATCCAGGTTTAAACTGAGGAGGATGCTCAAGGCAGCAGATCAGACACCAGTGAGAGAGACAGGGGGAGGCTCCTAGGGCCAGACACTGGAAGCTTGAGTTATTGAGTCCCTTTTTTCCTTTTACCTCTCTGCCTGTTCCTGGTGCTACCACCCTGTGATCTTGATAAATGTAGCTACTTACTACATACTATGACGTATATGCTTGGCAATCCTCTCTTCACTGCACACAAGAACTTGGACTATTTTGGGCCCACTCTACTATAACAGATCCAGTCTATGACACATCTTTAATGGAATTTTCTAATAATGGTTAACATCCCTGATGATAATTATGGAAATCTACCTGGGCTTTAAAAGTATTATATTGTATACAAAAATTGTATTATACAACCAGGCCTTCAAATTAACAGTGAGGCCAGTGTTTTTGATTACTTCTCCCCTAAAAAAGGAAACAAAAAAGATACATATATCATTAGATCAAAGATTTTTCATTGTCAAAATTCCCATGGTTTATGACCACTCAGCATGAAGCAGCTAGCAGGAAATATGTTCCTCCTTTTCCCTCTGTAATAAAGCATGGACAATGAGGAGGGCAATTGATCCGTTTTCTAGGGAAAAGCATTTCAAACAGTGCTTCCCTCTGTTGCAGGAATCGAAAAGACTGGAGAGAGCCACAGACTGAAAAAGAAGGACTATATTTCAGGTTTAAGGTGAGCACTGGCTTAACGGACTCCTTGTCCAAAGAGAAATTCTAGCTTTTATAGATTTTGTGAAAGAGGGTGGTTTTTCTAGTGATGTAGCGAGTTTACCAGAACTGGACAAGGGTGGACAGTTTTGTAACTTTGCCTTGAAAGAAGACAGTGTCTTATGAATCATATGGGAACAAAGTGTTGTAAACTTTTATCCCCCCCATACTGGGAATAAAACTATGTCCTCGGCCCTTGTAAACTTTGTTTACAGGACATAGTTGTCAATTTCATCTGTACCAGAACAAGAGTTACAGCTACAGGGGAGGGGAGGGGGAGGGAGAGGGGAAGAGGGAGGGGGCTCCTACGTCTGGGAAGGGCTTGTTTTTAAATCCTGCTTTACCTCCACTCCAAAATGTTTTTCTGACTTTCTAGTCCTCTAACAACCCATTCCTCTTGGTATTGTAATTTTTAAGGGGAAGACTGTATACACCTCCTCCTCCCCTCCGTTTTTATAAAATAACTTGCAGAAAAACAACTCGTCTATCTACAGGCTGTGGTCCTGGCCTTGAATATCTGGGAAGTAAAACAGGCCCAAATCACAGCAGAAAAAGCATCCTGTTGGCATAAAGCTAAGGAAGTGGCTTTTCTGAGCAGCTAGGTGTGGGGTGGGTCTGGGGAGAAAAGATGCGGCAGAGGAGCAACAGACACACCCGAGTTACAGGTGTCAGAGAAGGCAGGCTTCTATCTATTTCAAGACTATGGTGGTTAGAAGTAAGAGTCACAGCCATTCTCCCAGCCTGGGCCGTGGATCTTAGCAAGGTTGGAGAGCTGACGAGCAGGACTGGTCCGCTATCCCCTGGGTTGGGACTTTCCCCAGCCAAGGGACATACCTGTAACACCATACAAGTCAGAAGGTTCTAGTGTCTTCCCCGGGCTTTGATACCTTAGGTGTATGGAGGCTCATGTTTCTCACCTTGGAACAATACTCCCATCTACCCACTGCACAGGCTGGGTAGGAAGCTGGAACATCTGGAAGCACATTTAACCAACGGAGCACACTGTTCTCCTATTCAAACTGGAAACTGCAGAAATTTGGGGTCTTAGGAATTGCAGTTCGGGAGACACCAATCCCTAGAGCTTGATCAGTGTCCCCAAGAAGGCAGGGAAAGTTGAAGCTTAAGTGGGCAAGCAGTACAAAGAGGTAAGAATTCCTATGTAGGGAATTCCACTGAAATCAAGAAACAATAGATGTGGTATGATAAGGCCTTGTGATCAATAGAAGATAAAAAAAAGAATGCCTATGCTTGATTAAAAAAAAAGTCCATAGAAAAGAATCTGCTGGCCTCTGGACGTGCAGTTTGAGTCTCTGAGCACAATGTACTGATCTGTTCTAAATGTGTGCAGAGGGCGGAGTGACAAAAGTTCACCTTCCTCAGCAGCAGCCCGAGTGGTTCGGGAGTCTTGCTTCATGATAGTCTCCCAGCTCCACTAAGAAAAGCTCTCTCAATGTTGCTTCCATCATGAGTTTTTCCTTTTCTTCCTTTCCCTTCTCTTCTTCCCTTTTCTCCTTCCCTTTCTCCCTCCACCACCACTTGGTACTGGAGATTGAACCTGAGCTACATCCCCAGTCTTTCTTTTTTTTTTTTTTCAATCTTTTTATTTTTACTTAAAAAAAATTTTTTTTTTTAAATCTTTTTTTTTTCACTTTTCTTTTTTGGTACTGGGAATCAAACCCAGGGTCTCGCACTTGCCGGCCAGGCGCTGTGCCACTGAGCTAAATCCCTGGCCCTACTTTTTAAAATTTTTGAGACAGGGCTTCACTAAATTGCCCAACTGGGCCTTCAGCTCATAATCCTGTGGCTCAGTCTCCCCCATTTCTGGGATTACAGGTGCAAACCACCATACCAGGCTCTCTTTACTTTCAGAACAATAAGCACATAGCAACAGTGAAGACAACAGTAGTAGTAACAGGAGTTGTTGGTCCAGTTTGGGCCCCAGCCTGCTCTATCTGAATTGCTGTTTTTGCTAACTCCTCTGTCTTCATGAGTTCAAGGAGAGGAGCACAAAGCCTTTGCTTTGAGAGCCAGGCTGTGCTGCCCTTGCAGCTTCAGTGTGCCTCTCAGAAAAGTGGGCAGCTGGGCAAAAGGAGGCCATGGCACATGTTAGAGTGTTCTGTGCTATTCATCCCCTGCTGGGGGCCCTTCCCGGGGATAGGAAATAGGGTTGTACAGTGGACTCTTGACTTACAAAGTCAATTCGTTCCAGAGGGCTGATTATAACTCAGGTTGGTCAACTGCCTTCAAAGTCTCTCTCCTGTATAATTTTAGGCCACACTTTCTTTCAGGCAGATCTCAGAGTCCTTAGAGAGACATTGACCCAGGATTTCTCAACCTCACACAGGAAAGGATGTTGTAATGTTCCTTTCAGAACTCTTTAAGGGTTAAATCTGTACCTGAGACCATATGGAAGCAAAAGCAATCGGCATTTGGGTTTTAACTCAATACTTTGTTAAATTAAAACTAAAACTCTGGTCATAACCCAAGTTATTTTTATGTCAGGCTGGTCGTAACTCAAGGGTCTATTGTATTATATTGTGGCCATAGGGATTCTTGTCTTTGTAGGTGTCTTCCTCCATAAAGAAAAATTACAAATTATATTTTGCAACTACCTTGGTTTAAATAAGACTGTATTAACATATTTAAAATGTTTCTTTGAACTAAAAGTTCTTTTTTATTTTCCTGGATTAAAAAACAAACATTTTTCCAGCAGCATTTATTAAAGAGGCTCTCTTTCCTCCAGAGTGTGTTTTTGGCCCCTTCGTCAAAGATCAGATGGCTGAATGTGCCTGGGGGTTGTTTCTCCTCCTCTATTCTGTTCCATTGATCCTCAGGCCTGTTTTTGAGCCAGCACCTTGCTGTTTTTATCACTGTAGCCTTGTAATATGGCTTCAAATCCAGGATTGTGATGCCTCCCACTGTACTCTGTTTACCCAGGATTGCTTTTGCTATTCTGGATCTCTTCTGGTTCCAGATGAATTTTAGTATTGTTTTCTCCAATTCTGTGAAGAATACTGTTGGTATTTGATTGGGCTTGCACTAAGTCTGTGTATGAGTTTTTGCAAGTATAGCCATTCTGACTATATTTGTTGTGCCTATCCAGGAACAGGCGATATCTTTCAATTTTCTGATGTCCTCTTCGATCTCCATTTTCAGAATACTGAAGTTTTCATTGTAGAGATCTTTTGCTTCCTTGAATAGGTTAATTCCTAAGTATTTATTTTTTTTGGTGCTATTGTGAATGGGTTTTTTTTCTTAATTTCTTTCTCAATGAGTTCATATCCATGCACACCCACGTCTATAGCAGGACAACTCACAATAGCTGAATCTTGGGAGCAGCCTGTATGTCCACAAACAGATGAATGGGTAAAGGAAATATAGTATTTACATACAATGGCATACTGCTCTGCCATAAAGAAGGATAAACAGGAGTCATGTGTGGGAGGGAGAATAGATGCACCTGGAGACCATAACGTTAATTGAAATAAATCAGATACACAGTTTAACTATCACATGGTTTGTTTTATATAAGAACCCCCCCAAAATATATAGCAAAATAAAAGACAGATAATAGGAAATAGGGAAGTAGATCTTTCTCAAATGGGAAGGAGATCAAGAGATGAGGAGGAGAAGGGGATGAAAAGGGAATTAAGATGTGATATGTTCTGTACATGTACCAACTCCCCACAAAGAATATAATCACCATATACTGCAAACACGGACTAATACAAAATCTTTTAAAACTTGGGCCCCTCAAAGTATATCATGGGCTCCAGCAGTATGCCTCCAAGGCCTAAGGGAGGAGTGAGCCCTGAGAGCAGATCAGCCACCCGGCAGCCCACAGAGCCCAAGGCCTTGTCTCTTCCCGCTGAGGGACCCTGGCACCGGCCTGGGAAGACGGAGGAGACCTTCACCATGCGGGCATGGTGCCCCATACCTGTGATCCCAGCACTTGGGAGGCTGAGCCAGGAGGATTGCTGTGAGTTCAGAGGCAGCCTGGGCTACGCAGTGACTACAAGCCCAGCCTGAACTGCATAATGAGACCCCGTCCCCAAAATAAATAATAAATAAATAAATATTTAAAACAAAAAAATAAGTAAATAAAAAAGGGCCAGGGCTCTCTGCCTCCTGGCTGCCATGCTCACAGCTAAGGATTTGCCCCGAGTCTCAGAGGGTACTTTGGACTTGGACTTTTCAGCAGCACTAGAACTGTAAGACTGTGTGTGGCAACTCTTCGAGATGGACTGAATACAGTTCACAGAATGAGACTGACATGGATCTGCGGGAGGCCAGGGGCAGAATGCTGTGGTTTAGATCTAGGAAGCTACCCAAATTCTCATGTGCTCAGAGAGGTGGTTTTAGAAGGTTGTTGGATTAGGGGGGAGCTACACGGATCCGTGGATTGATTCCTTGGTGAGTTCATAGCTAAACGTGCTGTGAGGAGATGGGCCTGGTCGGAAGATGTGCGTCTCTGACTTTGGAGGGTGCATCTCCCTCCTCAGCTCCCCCTTTCTCTCTGCTTCCTGGCTGCCATGATGTGAACAGCTTTCCCCTGCCAGGCCCTTCCACCGTAATGTTTTTGTCTTGGAGCCATCGCCCACGCATTGGAACCCCAAAATGGTGAGTCAAATTAAACCTCTCCTTTAAAAAAAAAGGGGGTGTGTGGAAATGTAATTCAGTGGGAAGACCTTGGGTTCAATCCCCATACCTCAAAAACCAGAAACAAAACCACTTAGGTCTGTCTCCATTTTTGCATCTGTCTCCTTTGTTCTGAGTCATTCTCTTTGGGAGTAGCCTTATATTATATACTTTTTTTTTTTTGGTACCAGGGATCGAACTTGGGACCTTGTGCTTGTGAGGCAGGCAGCGGAACCATTGAGCTGAATCCCCAGCCTAACCTTATATTATATAAATATAATATAAATTGAATCCATAAATATTTTTCAGCAACATCCCACCCCCATT